TGCAGGAGATCATCGATTCATTATCCGGCAGCTTCGGAGGTGGGGGGGGGGGCGGATTTTCCAAAACCGCCGGATATAACTCCACCAATCATTTAAAATAGCTTATTTTTTGCACATTCTTGGATGACATTATCTTTTTAGGTGTTGTTCATACGGTCTGTTTTTTGAATTTTTTTACTTTGTGAAATTGGCATAAAAAAACCTACAAGTAGACGTCAAAAAATATCCTATTATAAAAAGTTACTGCATTTACTGTACCGTACTGACCACTCCAGTCTCGAAGATTCTGCATGGTGCGATGTACGCACGTGCAGTATTTTCATTGCTTAAGTTGTACGTAGTGTATAATGTACTCAATGTATGTCTACCACTGCATTCAAGCGTAGCTACTTTATTTTGTCGCGCACACGGTGCCCATCACCGGACTGGTTACAGCCTTTAAAGTGGGTTTTCCGGATCGGCCTGGGACCACAGGATAATCGATTACACTGGTCAACCAAATTTTTTTTTTCTGGCCTGGACTTTTGCAGCTGTTTTAGACTAATTTCAGGGTGCTGATTCATAATCTGATCTCAGATTTGCTCTATCACATCTCATTTTATGCTATCGGCATACCCCATTTTCATTGATTTTACCCGAAATTAACTCTGTCACTTATGATTGCAAGTTGTTGCGAGTCAGTGACTGCTTTAGTGTTAAAATATGGTGCTGTATTTTTAGGATAGTGTGTTTATAATATCATGTTATGTAGATATCCACATTTATTTAATATTTTTCTTCTACAGTTTTTATTGAAAATGCAATATTTGATATATCAAAAACCTGATGTGATAGACAAAAACTGATGCCAGATTTGGAATCAGCACCCCAAAATTACATTAAACCCGTTGGAATACCTTATGCCAGAAAAAGTGTGTTGACCAGTGTTATCGGCTGTGTATATATAAGACAAGCTTTACTACCCGGCTTCGCCCGAGACTTGGATTCTTGTCTTGGATTAATACACGGCCTACGCGGAGGGTGGGGGGGGGGGGATGCGTGACGTCAGCAGGCACACTGCGTGACGCTGCCGCATGCGGGTGACATCACAAATGTGACGTCACCGCTCACTTGCCGTGCAAAATATATCCATTATTGCGCCCCCCCCCAAAAAATACAAAAGTCCATTTTTATACTGTTTGCATTGTGTACAGTCTGAAAGCTACCCACATGCCAAAATTTCAAGTTTGTTGCATATCGGGAAGTATGCTAAACATTTCAAACAGACACACATATTCACAAATTTCCCTTTCATATATATAGAAGATGTAAAAACACATCCTCTTTGGATTGGATAAAAGATGTTGAATTGGCAATGCCAGCCAGAGTGCCGCCTGCTTAGGGATTGATTGGGAGACACCTGCTTGGGAATATCCAGTGCTGGTAGTGTTGGGCCAGGCTGCGGGCCAACCAGGAGATGGAGGTTTCACTACAGCAATGGATTCTTGAATCTATCTGTGCGGGAGTGAGCCTGGGTTAGTTGTTGGATGGGTGACTATTGTGCATGTCAGGGTGTCATAGGCTACTACGAGGTTATTTTGCCATGTTGGCAGCAAATAGCAAGTACAGAAAATTCAACTATTGTCCTGTTCTGCGATGCACTCACGTAAATTACCCCCCCACCAGAGGTCGCAAATGGGTTTTGATTCCTTACCCGTACCCGTACCCGGCCGCACCAGGGTCGCAAATGGGTACCCGTACCTGGCCGGGTACGGGTAGCCGGGTATCGGGTAGGGCACGGGTATCGGGTACCCGGTTGCGACCTCTGCCCCCCACCCCCCAACTCCGTGAATGTGTGGTGGGGTGTTCACCGGGTTTGCAATGTAGCAGGACCCTCCTGGAAACGAGTCTTGGGACTCAGCCAGGATTTAGATTACATCATTATTTCATCACGTGTTCAGTGTTCACTCGCTATTATTCTCCGTTAACTGTCAATTTATTTTTAAAAAATTAAATTTTCTTGCTGTGGATTTCACACCTGATGATGATTGCTTGTGTTGCAGTCGAAACGTCGTGAGAATTTGTATTGTTTTATATTTTTATTATTTCCCTTCTCCATGACTTTACCGAAAGAACCAAGAATATGAATCCCTGCAGTCACGAAAGCTTTAAATCAAAATTTGTCAATTTACTGTTGGACGAAGGCATCCACACGCCTGGTCGGCCATGGTGGATTGTTTGACCATACTTCACCACGCCGCTTTGTGCCAGTGGGTGTAAATTTGACACTGAACCCTGGCCAAACCCTCGGTCATTCTCAGGGCAACCCGACTGAGTCACCGGCGGTCACCAATTCGGCGACATGTTATCTCAAGGTTGTTTTTTTTTATCGGCCACCAAACATTTCCACGATTTAAACGTCGGGCTTCTGGGAAGCCACGTGGGCTGTTCCCACCGGTACCCGAAAGACCCGGAGTTTCCACTTGAATGTCCAGTATATTTTTCATGTTAATTATAAAAAACGCGAAATGTAACTACAAATTTATGCGAAACTGTTATCACGACAATGGTCACATCGTGAAATTCTGCCTAAGGGGGCGGCCATAAATGACGTCACGCACCTAGGGGGGGCGGGTCAGACATTTGTGACGATGTGTGACGAGGGTGGGGGGGGTTGACGAAGGGGGGGGGGAGGGGGTCAAAAATCGTCCAAAATCGCGTGACGTCATTTATGGACGGCCCCTAATAGTATCGTATCGTGTTAATGCTATCGAGGCAACGACTTGCCAGCGCCTCATTGAGTGATGGTCCTGACACTGAACCACGTCAGCAATTGTTTCTTGCTGTGGTTGTTCCCACCTGATGACGGACGCTTGTGTTGCGCCCGAAACGTCGTGATTAAATTTATTTTATACCTACGTGACTTTACCGACAGAACCAAAGAGTATGATGGTACTGTGCCATCTGCTGGTCACATTGGGAACGTCCTCCAATTGAAAAGGCTAATTAACCTAATGGCGAGACCCCGGGGTCCCATAAGCCCCCGGATCTCACATAAACATTTTATTATAATGTCAACAAAAACTTTGCTCTTTTTCACCAATGGTTTTGAAGGATGGTGGCAAGCGTTGTCTTGTTAAACTACGCCTTTAAAACTGAAAACTACTTACCTGCATTCTAGATTTGAAGTTTTCGTGACTGCAAAGATCCATACTCTTGGTTCTTTCGGTAAAGTCACGTAGGTAAAGAAAATGGTAAATAAAAATAAAATAAAAAAATAAAATAAAAAATAAGTAAAATTAAATAAATTATTGTTATCTTATATTTGTATTTATTTATATTTATTATTTTCTTTACCTACGTGACTTTACCGAAAGAACCAAGAGTATACTTACCTGCAGTACATCTATTTAAAAACAGTAACGAAAAAATAATTGACACCCGTCTAATCGACACCCCTCTGTCAATCATCGTGTTTCTCAGTGTGGATTTGTGAACACACTTTGTAAACAGTACACAAAATAGTACGCGTTTTCAAGGCGCTGTTCATATTGTAACAAGCGGTTTATACCGATGTTACTCTACAGAGTAGTGGGTCGCCGCTCCTCTTATCCGCATTGCTACGAGCGGTATGTGGGGACTATGGTATGGGGCCGTCCATAAATGACGTCACGCACCTAGGAGGGGGGGGGGGGTCAGACATTTGTGACGATGTGTGACGAGGGGGTGGAGGTGTTTGAGAAATGTGACGTTACATCAAAATGCGCAACTTTAAATAAATATAGACAACACGTTCTACTTAAATATACTTTTTAATAAATGTTTTCTCCTACAACATCAGAGTGCAGCGCCACATTAAATACGCACTACAATGACAATAGTTTAAAGCGATTTGAAGCATTTTTGGGGGGGGGGGGCAGAGCTTTGTGACGTCATATTTGAGGGGGGGTCTGACTTTTTGTGACGCAGTGTGACGAGGGGGGGGGGGGGGTCAAAAATCGTAAAAAATCGCGTTACGTCATTTATGGACGGCCCCACAGACAAAGACAAAGAACCCCCGTGTAGCCCTAACAGACTGTTGGGGCGAGTGCTGTCAACGATTAAGCCACCTGTGAATGTCGGAACGGCACGTGACGGGGTGGGGGGCCAGCACCACGCCCGGCCGCCTTTGTCTCCCCAAGTGACGATACTGACACATCGCACCGGGTACTCGTTTGAGGCTGAGTCCACCTAGGGGTGGAGGCCCGGGGGGGGGGCGCTTCGAGATAATTTGTTTGTTGTAGTACGGAGTTAGACTGATGGCTTTAATCTAAGTTGTCTTGTGGTTGTTGTTTGACTTGCATCCCACTGGGATTTTTGCACAGAGCGTTGGTGTACGGTGCTTTTTCAACAATATTTTGCTGTCTTTTCTTGGATTTTCTGCTTGCGCTTAGTCACATATTCACTTTAAGATGTTTTCTTGTTCATGTTTTTGTTTTTTTTTGTTTGTTGCGGTTGCACCCAATTCAAAAGCCGAATGGCTCACAGGGCTATACCAAATAAATTAAACTGAAAAACTTAAATACAGGTAGTCCCCGAGTGACGATGGTCCGACTTACGATATTTCGATCTTACGATCTTGGTGACTACAGTACAATATGATACGTTACGTTCAATGCATGTATGATACGTAGCTTTAGCGATTTCATTTTAGGGTTACCACGATACGATACGTTCAATGCATTTTAAAAGTTTTCAAAGCAGATATGATTGTTTCCTGAAAAAAACTTTCCATTAAATTGCAGTTCATATAGGTAGCCTAAGAATTTACCTTGGTTTTTTTTTACTCTACATTTTACTGTGCAATACAGTATTGTAATTAATAAACACATACAGTACATAGTTTATACAGTACGGTACTGTACATTGCTCTGTTTTGCTAAATTATCACCATTCTTTAAGACTCCTGGGTAGGCTAGGCCATCTTCGACTTACGCTATTTTCGACTTAGGATATTTTCGACTTACGACATTTCCGACTTACGATATTTTCGACTTACGCTATTTTCGGCGTACGATGTTTTCGACTTACGCTATTTTCGACTTACGACATTTTCGACTTACGTAATTTTCGACTTGCGTTATTTTCGACTTACTAAGGGGTCGTCGTAACGCATCTCCGCCGTAAGTCGAGGACTGCCTGTAATTCGTGGCCGGCGTTGTTGGCCGTGAGCGGTGACCGCTAAAAGCCGCTGCCGCTCTCACAGTGCGTAGAGACTACACGCACAACAACAACACAACAACAACAACACAAACACGGCACAACATTACACATCGCTGCTGTCTTTAAATCCATCGATCCGCTCATCACCGCATTGCCAAGCAACCGTTATCGTTTGGGCAGCGAACACACGGGCGACATTTACCTCAGCGTACAATTGCAGATTTTAGCTTTTATTTTAATCAACGGTGCACATTTATTTTGTGATGCTGTTGTTGCTATAATATTAAGAGGGTAGCTATTGCGTAAGTGTGTGTGGTTGACACATTGGTGATGGGAGAGGCCATGTCGAAGCGCTTTAAGTCGGACGCGGACGAGATGGAGGAGAGGCATTTCCCGAACCCTTACGCAGAATATAACCCTGCACAACCGCCCGAGGATTTATTCGACGCTTCGGGGAAGGTACAGTAGTTGTTGTTGTTTGTGTGTTGTTTGATACATTAAATCTGGAGTTTGGTGTTGGTGTTGTTGAGTGGGGGGGGGGGGGGTTCGTGGCCACGATCGGCAGCCGGGAGAGGCGCGCCATTCCCGGCAGGGGTCGCTATCCGAGGGTCGGTGGCCTTGTAGGCCCCGAGTCGTGTTGATAAACATTCGATGCATTCCCCATACAGCGTTTGCTTTCGAACCACGCCAAATGCACGCACTCCGTACGCATGATTGCTTTCATAGTTGCGTTATATATCTATTTGTCAGCAGTCCGATTTTCTGTATTCGTACGCCGTATATTATACAGAAAAACGAATGGGCACACTGCACCGTTGTTAATCATCGTTATTATCATTATTAGCATCATCATCATCGCCGGCCATGGTCAATCCACTGCTGGATGTGAAGGCCTCAACGACTGCCCCGTCTTTGGCGATCCCGCAGAGGCCACGTTCCCCATCGCTCCCGTCTCCTTCGGGTAGCACCGAGCCTGGGACGAGATGTCTTGCCCCTTTTAGCGATAAATAACAACACATTTTGTTGTATACTTACATTAAATGTTACATTCTGTGCACGTAAGGCGATTTAGAGTGCAGCATATACGGAACTAGACCTCGAAGGGGACGTCCGCCGTGGAGATGGAGCGATTAAATCAGCGGTGGATTAGAATTACTCCAGGACGGTGGGGACGGGCCTTCATCCAGCAGTGGCTCGATTACGGATGTGAGGTTAATGTGAAGCTTACATTGTACAGTGCGTGTGATGTTCTTTGTACAGTACTGGATGCAGGAGGGGTTGGTCCAGATGCCTTGTGACCCCCCCTTATTTTTTAAATAAACCTTACTTAAAACTATTAAGTTTGAGATAATTCAATGGAAGGTCACCAGACATCGACCCCACCCTGTTACATTTGAATTAAATTCTAACGTTTATTTTATTATGTTTTATTTTTATTATTTTATTATTTCCCTTCTACGTGACTTTACCGAAAGAACCAAGAAGATAAATCCCTGCAGTCACGAAAGCTTTAAATCGAGACTTTAAACATCTTTTATTTAATTAATGACGTATTTACATGGTTCTGGCCACCCATCCCTTCGTGTGCCTTGCCGGCCTTCGTAGGTGCTCGCCAACAGCACTTGCCCCAATAGTCTGTTACAGGCTATACGGGGGATCTTTGTCTTTTTTTGTACGCAACACACGATGCCGCGTGTTTTTGCAAGAAGTCAATTCGGAGTGTCTCTACATTTTCACGGCAGTTGCCAGTCTCTCCGGAGGATGGCCACTCTGAACTCCTACAACGTAGTACCAATTTTATCCACCCCCCCCCCCCCCCGATAGAGACGATGGTCTTAACGGATACCCGAATATAAAATTAACCCAGAGCGAGAAAGTTGACGGCAGCGTCACCTGGGTGGATCTCACAAGCATGCAATGTAACGTGATGCCCAGCCCTCTAGCAATGCAAATACAGGTCGTCCTCTACTTAGGATGGAGATGCGTTACGACGACCCCATCGTAAGTCGAAAATATCGTAAGTCGAAGATGGGCTAGCCTACCCAGGAGTCTTAAAGAATGGGGATAATGTAGCAAAACAGAGCAATTTACAGTACCGTACTGTATAAACTATATACTGTATGTATTTATTAATTACAATACTGTATTGCACAGTAAAATGTAAAGTAAAAAAACGAGGTAAATTCTTAGCCTACCTATATGAACTGCAATTTAATAGACAGTTTTTTCAGGAAACAATCCTATCTGCTGTAAAAACTTTTAACATGCATTGAACGTATCGTATCGTGGTAACCCTAAAATTAAATCGCTAAATCTACGTATCATACATGCATTGAACGTATCGTAATGTATCATATTGTACTGAACTCACCAAGATTCTGTCCGTCGTCTGCACACTTGAACGATGTTAGGTTGTTGATGGCTACATTAACTTAGTTGTCGGAAGAGGATGGCAATGATAAAGGACAGTATCGTACCTCATACGCTGCTGCGTTTGCCTGCCGCGCGAAATGTAAAATATTTTACAATTTTGTCGTATCGCTATCGTCATCGTAAGAAAGAAATATCATAAGTCGGACCATCGTAACTCGGGGACTACCTGTAATATAACGTCATGTTACTCTTTGGTTCTTTCGGTAAAGCCACGTAGAACCAAAGAGTGTGGATTCCTGCAGTCACGAAAGCTTCAAGTCAAGATTGAACGTTATGTTAGTTAGCCCACAGTGCTTTGCAAGCACGATTGAGGCTTCGCACTGCTTTACATTCAAACACGTGTTTTGCATTGGTTTGGAGGAAACCGGAGCTTCGAGAGAAAACCCACCACACATATGGGGGCACAACCCTTAAAAAGGTCCGAACAGACGGGTTCTCTCGCACAACTTGCCCTGCGGCCATCTCCGGAACCACGCCACGTAACACGACGAGTTTGTCATATGTACGCGATTCACCGACAGAATCGGAATCTTTCTTGATGCTGGAGGAATCCGACGAACAGAACAATACAAAAACACGATAGGAGTCCAAAGTATAGGAAAGGTAAGCAAATCACAAAAAAACATCTACTTAAACTATTTTTATTTTACCAGGTAAGGCCCACTGAGCTATTTAACTTTTTTTCAGAAGCGTGACTGGCAGAGCGAACAGCTCGCGATTCGACCCATCATCCCTACCTCCGGGGTCGATAAATTGGTACCCCTTTGTGGGGAAGTCAACCGCAGTTGTGGATAAACCTATAAACTATTTTTTATTTTACCAAGTAAGGCCCACTGAGCTCTCTTTTTCAGAAGCGACCTGGCCATAAACGATAGCTCAACGAAGTGGCTTATCACATGGAAATGTATAGCAGCCAGATAGTCTAAATTCACGTTAAATCATCCACACGACCACGGGGAGAACACGCAAACTCCAAATATACAGGCGTCAGGGTTGGGATCGAACCCACGTTGCTTATCATCACGTGTACATTTCTGGCAGCAGCCACCACACATGGCTAGATGGTGTCCGTGCTGTCTTCGGGGACAGCAAACGCCTTGCCCGGGAGGTAGCGATAGCTGTGATCACATCTCTTGCGTCCGTCGAGGCAGATCAGCGCGGCGTTCGAGAGACGCCTGACTGCGAAGATCCATGACCTGGTGGCACAGATGGAGGAGGGGCTGAAGACGGCTGACCCCCACGACTACTCGGGCTACACAGGGTGGACGGGTGAGGTGGATGGTCCGCTCGCTCTCCAGCTCACACTCTGTCCTGCTCACTCGCGTTGCTGGTTACTTGCCCACTCGCTCTTCCGCTGGCTCGCTCTCTCGCTCACCCACACGCTCTCTCACTCGCTCGCTCTCCCGCTCACCCACTCGCACTCCCACTGACTCGCTCTCCCGCTCACTCGCTCTCCCGCTCACTCGCCCACTCGCCCTCTCGCTCACTCTCCCGCACTCATCTGTGTTTGTGTTGGCGGTGTGTATTGTAGTGTGAGTCGTCCTGTGTGTGTGTGTGTTTATCGAAATTGGTCCCAGGCCTCCCCTAGGTCGACTCAGCCTCAAATAAGTACCTGGTGCGGTGTTTAAACATTGTCACCGGGGAGACAAAGGCGGTCGGGCGTGGTGCTGGCCATCCACCCCCTCGTGTGCCACAGTGCCGGCCTTCACAGGTGCCGCTACTCGCGAACAGCACTTGCCCCCAACGGTCTGATGAAGGCCACACGGGGGATCTTTGTCTTTGTGTACGCACGTGTGCAGGCATCGGCCTTCCTGTACGTGCAGCTGCACCGTGTGCAGGGGGAGCCGGGGCAGCTGCAGCGAGCGCTGGACCACGCCAAGCGCTCGCTGCGCGGCCTCTCTGGCCGCCGCGTCTCCTTCCTGTGCGGCGACGCAGGGCCGCTGGCGCTCGGCGCCGTCGTGCACCACAAGCTCGGCAACGCCGACGACAGCCGGGAGTGCGTGCGCCAGTGAGTGGCATGCGCGTCAGTGAGTGGCGCGCGCACGCTTGTGTGTGTGTGTGCACCAGTGAGTGGCTTGCGCCGGTAAGTGTCACGCGTGTGTGTGTGCTCCAGTGAGTGGCTTGCGCTGGTAAGTGTCACGTGTGTGTGTGTGCACCAGTGAGTGACTTGCGCTGGTAAGTGTCACGTGTGTGTGTGTGTGCACCAGTGAGTGGCTTCCGCTGGTAAGTGTCACGCGTGTGTGTGTGTGCTCCAGTGAGTGGCTTGCGCCGGTAAGTGTCACGCGTGTGTGTGTGTGCTCCAGTGAGTGGCTTGCGCTGGTAAGTGTCACGCGTGTGTGTGTGTGCTCCAGTGAGTGGCTTGCGCTGGTAAGTGTCACGCGTGTGTGTGTGTGCTCCAGTGAGTGGCTTGTGCTGGTAAGTGTCACGCACGCGTGTGTGTGCTCCAGTGAGTGGCTTGCGCTGGTAAGTGTCACGTGTGTGTGTGTGCTCCAGTGAGTGGCTTGCGCTGGTAAGTGTCACGTGTGTGTGTGTGTGCTCCAGTGAGTGGCTTGTGCTGGTAAGTGTCACGCGTGTGTGTGTGTGTGCTCCAGTGAGTGGCTTGCGCTGGTAAGTGTCACGCGTGTGTGTGTGTGCTCCAGTGAGTGGCTTGCGCTAGTAAGTGTCACGCGTGTGTGTGTGTGCTCCAGTGAGTGGCTTGTGCTGGTAAGTGTCACGCGTGTGTGTGTGCTCCAGTGAGTGGCTTGCGCTGGTAAGTGTCACGCGTGTGTGTGTGTGCTCCAGTGAGTGGCTTGTGCTGGTAAGTGTCACGTGTGTGTGTGTGCTCCAGTGAGTGGCTTGCGCTGGTAAGTGTCACGTGTGTGTGTGTGCTCCAGTCAGTGGCTTGCGCTGGTAAGTGTCACGCGTGTGTGTGTGTGCTCCAGTGAGTGGCTTGTGCTGGTAAGTGTCACGTGTGTGTGTGTGCTCCAGTGAGTGGCTTGCGCTGGTAAGTGTCACGCGTGTGTGTGCGTGCTCCAGTGAGTGGCTTGCGCTGGTAAGTGTCACGTGTGTGTGTGTGCTCCAGTGAGTGGCTTGCGCTGGTAAGTGTCACGTGTGTGTGTGTGTGCGCACCAGTGAGTGGCTTGCGCTGGTAAGTGTCACGTGTGTGTGTGTGTGCACCAGTGAGTGGCTTGCGCTGGTAAGTGTCACGTGTGTGTGTGTGCTCCAGTGAGTGGCTTGCGCCGGTAAGTGTCACGCGTGTGTGTGTGTGCGCCAGTGAGTGGCGTGCGCCGGTAAGTGTCACGTGTGTGAGTGTGCTCCAGTGAGTGGCTTGCGCTGGTAAGTGTCACGCGTGTGTGTGTGCGCCAGTGAGTGGTGCGCGTGCATGTGTGTGTGCGTGCATCAGTGTGCGTGCGTGCGCGCGCTCGCGCGCAAGGGGAGTGGCGGTGCCGCAGCGGTTAACGCGCTGCGCTTCGAACTCAGCTACCCGAGTTCGATTCCCGCTCATAGCCACCACCAGTGACGATTATCTGAACCAGTCTCGGGCCTACCCTAGGTTGACTCAGCCTCCAATTAATACCTGGTGCGGTGTGTAAACATCGCCACTGGGGAGACAAAAGCGGCTGGGCGTGGTGCTGGCCACCCACGCCTTCATGCACCGTGCCGGCTTTCATAGGTGCTACTCGCTAACAGCACTTGCCCCAACAGTTTGTTAAAGGCTATGCTGCTGCTGTTCCAGATACTTTTACTGATGCTCCTCTTACTGATGTTACTGCTGCTACGGTGTTACTTCTGCTGCTCTTACTGATGTTACAGCTGCTGCTGTTACAGCTGCTGCGCTTACTGATGGTTGCTGCTGCTGTTACAGCTGCTGTTCTCACTGATGGTTACTGCTGCTGCTGTTACTGCTGCTGTTACTGCCACTGCTACTGCTGCGACGAGCAAGGCTCCTGGAGCTGAAGAGCTCGGTGGTGGCGCTGGAGTCAGATGTCCCGGACGAGGTGCTCTACGGCCGCGCGGGCTTCCTCTTCGCGCTGCTCTACGTGCGCGCCGAGCTCGGGGAAGAGGCCGTCCCCGCCGGGGTCATCGACGAGGTGCAGTCCACATTGTCGCGTACACGCACCTCGTCTCGAGCTCCCTCCTCCTGCCCGTCTCTCTGAGCATTGTGACGACGAGGTGGGGGGCCCACGTCCACGCTCCCTTCACCTCATTGTGAACCTCCTCTGATTCTGATCATTGTGACGACGAGGTGTGACCCACGTCCACCGTTGCTCCACCACTTCGTCTCGAGCTCCTTCCACCTGCCAGAGGTCGCAAACGGGTTTTGATTCATACCCGTACCCGGCCGCACCAGGGTCGCAAACGGGTACCCGTACCCGGCCGTACCCGGGTACGGGTATCGGGTACCTGATTGCGACCTCTGGGTGAAGCCATGTTGCAGGCGCAGGTGGGTTGATTCTAGGAACTTGAATTGTGAGAAGAGACAAGACGTTGGGAAATGAGTGACAAACGGTGACTCACCAGTGACTCACGGTCTACCCGTACCCGGCTGGGTACGGGTAGCCGGGTATCGGATAGGGTACGTGTATTGGGTACCCGGTTGCGACCGCTGCCACCTGCCCGTCTCTCTGAGCATTGTAACGACGAGGTGGGGCCCACTTCTACGCTTCCTCCACCTTATCGTGAAGTCCCTTCCCCGACTCTACGAGGTGAATCCCCTCAACCACCCTTGCTTCACCTCGTCTTGTACTCCACCCCGCCCTGCCCGTCTCTCTGAGCATTGTGACGACGAGGTGGAGCCCACGTCCTCGTGAACCCTATTCTCTGACTCTGAGCAGAGGTGAGGGAGTGCGTGGGTAGAACAAGCACAGTGTCGCAGGCGTAGCAAGGCTCTGGTGTGTGTGTAGTGAGTTCAACTGAGTCGCAGACGTACTCTTGGGAGGAAACACATTTATTTAACCGCAACACACGGGGTAACTGCCCCTTAACAGAATAACAAGCGATGGTGGTGACCACCAGACTAACTACACTAGTTACCACGTGACTGGTGTAGTTAGCCAGATGGTGACCACCAGGTTAACTACACTAATTACAACATAACTAGCTACGTAACCACCAGGCTAACTGCACTAATTACAACATAACTGGTGTAGTTAGCCAGATGGTGACCACCAGGTTAACTACACTAATTACAACATAACTAGCTACGTAACCACCAGGCTAACTGCACTAATTACAACTACTACGGACCCGGACCACAGCTCAGGTCCAGTGTCCACGAGTTGGAGACTCTGCAGGACGTAGAACGTAGACGAAGTTTTCTTCAGGATGAACAACAACGCCGGCCCCTCTGGGGGACCCGGCTTCTATTCCCTGCGGCGTGGCCGGCTCCGTCCTTGGCCATGCCCACCTTCCAGAATCCTCGAGCAGGATCTAGACCCCGACCACGTGACCACCCCTAGCCCCCCACTCGGGGCCCCTTTGTAGACTTGACCGGTCACGAATCCTCTTGGATCAACCAGAGTGCCACGGCTTTTAGTAACCTCATTCCTACGGCCGGCACTCCCACACCCTGTCCTGTAGGGGCTGGTACTGCACGCCAAGCGTGGTGCCATCCAGCGCTGTCAATCAGCGCTGACAGAGCCCCTCTACACCCACACCCTCGTGGTGTCCGCGATGTCGCGACACCGCACGCCGAGCCTCTCTAGGGCCGGCACGACACGGTGACATCCCGCGATATCACTACACATGTGTGTCCACGCGTGTCAGGTGTGTGTGTTTCTGCGCGCGTTTAACCTTTCCTCGTGTGTGTGTGTGGTGGCTAGTGGTACTGCAGTGGTTAGCGCGCCGCGCTACGAACCCGGCGACCCGAGTTCGATTCCGCCCCCCCCCCCCCGTCACCTTCCATGGCCAATATTGGCGATGTATATCCGAAGCAGTCCCTGGGCCACCTTTAGGTCGGCTTGACCTCAAATGAGCACCCGGCGCGGTGTGCAAACGTCATTCGCCGGGGAGAGCCGCGTTGACCTGTTGTAGGTGCTCGCCGCTACCAGCGCATGTGCCCTTAGAGCCCCGTTGGAGGCCACACGGGGGACCTTTGTCTTGGTGCCTGCGCGTAGGTGCGCTCAGCGCTGGTGGAGTCGGGCAAGGTCCTGGCAGGCATGGAGCGCAGGGCTGAGCGATGTCCCCTGCTGTACCAGTGGCACGGCAAGCAGTACGTGGGGGCCGCCCACGGTCTCGCCGGCATCTACTACATGCTCATGCAGGTGCGTGCGTGCACTCCGCGCCAGGCGCGTCGCCACGCCGTGTTGCCACGCGCGTCACCACACTGTGTTCCATGGATCACCACGCCGTGTACCACACATAACCATACCGTGTATCACCACATCACCACACCGTGTACCATGTATCACCACACCGTGTACCACACATCACCACACCGTGTACCATGTATCACCACACCGTGTACCACACATCACCACACCATGTACCATGTATCACCACACCATGTACCATGTATCACCACACCATGTACCATGTATCACCACACCGTGTACCACACATCACCACACCATGTACCATGTATCACCACACCGTGTACCACACATCACCACACCGTGTACCATGTATCACCACACCGTGTACCATGTATCACCACACCGTGTACCATGTATCACCACACCGTGTACCACACATCACACCGTGTACCATGTATCACCACACCGTGTACCACACATCACCACACCGTGTACCACACATCACCACACCGTGTACCACGGATCACCACACCGTGTACCATGGATCACCACACCGTGTACCATGCATCACAGCGCTGTGGACCATGCATATGACCACACTTTGTACTATCCATCACCACACCGTGTGCCACGCATCACCTTACCGTGTACCACACATCACCACACCATGTACCGTGCATCGTGTACTACTTATCACCACACCGTGTACCACGCATCACCACACCACAGAATTGCGCCTGGATAGCACTTGTATCGGATGACTGCCGTGCATCACAGGTGTTATGGTCTTACGCGGTGGGGTGCAGATGGTATCTTCAAGTGTTTTTGGAATTTACTTCATTGCTGTACTTGGCATTTTGCTTTCATCGTTTCAGTGACCCCCGACTCACCCTTGTGAATGACCCCTCTCTTGGCACCTGGAATTCTAAAACAAACGCGAAAGCTTCGAACTTGCCAAGATGCATGTGTACGCAGACGCGGCTTAGCCACTCGTGGATAATTTTGGCTCGTAACGCTGCGCCTCCGTCGCCGCACGGCGTTTGCTCCTCGCTCTCGGAGAGGGGTCGACGCTCGATCCCTCAAAGATGAGGTCCACGTCTTTGCCATACCGCCTGCTCCTGGCGAGCCGGGGTACGGCATCACCTCCTCCTTGGCGCCCCACGAGAAGGGAGGGTCGCAACGCTTGTGTGTCGACGCTGTGTGTTGCCTGGCGTATGTGTGTGCTGAACTTCTTTTGCACAGTAAGAGAACGCCTTTGTTAGATGGCGAGACTTAACAGCTGAGCGGCAAACACATTCCTGCGGAGGGAGCTGGTAGGAACGTTGGGTTGCTCGGTCAATGGCCAGGGTCAACGGCGGCGTGGTGTATTCCGCAAATATGCCCGACTGTGAGGGCGGGCACAAGCCGGCGTGAGTAGGTTAAACGTTGAGTTTTATAAGGGCACCACGGGGTGACCAGCCCCTCCCCACCCAGCCCCACCCCTCCCACTCCCCACCCTCCCCACCCAGCTCCTCCCCACCCTCCCCTCCTCACCCAGCCCTACCCTCCCCACCCAGCCCCTCCCCACCCAGCCCCTCCCCACCCTCCCCTCTCCACCCAGCCCCACCCCTCCCATTTTTGGATGCACGTCGGATGGACGGACGGACACAATACTCCCCTGTGGGCTGGTGTAACCAGGAGGTTCCTACCAGTAACATTTATTTTTTTATCCGCGAGGATGACTTGGAGTATGTGGTGACGACGGTTTCCGCCCCCCCCCCCCCCCCCCCGCGGTGTGAATGCGCCGGCTTCGGCAGCCGGGCGCCGGCATGAACAAGGAGGCGACGGTGGAGCTGGTGAAGCCCAGCGTGGACTACGTGCGGCGCAAGCGCTTCCGCTCGGGGAACTTCCCCTCGTCGCTCAGCAACGAGTCCGACCGGCTGGTGCACTGGTGCCACGGCGCGCCGGGCGTGGTGCACACGCTCCTGCAGGCGCACCGGGTGAGCGGCAAGCGCGCGACCTTCTCCACGTCACACAGAGAGAGAGAGCCCAATAAGAGAGATGACGATACGAGCTGGAAGAATGCATTTGTGAACACCAGCAGTGGCCAACATGTAACAGGCCAAGAGCTACAAATGTACCGATGAGTTCTGCAAAGAGCTAATTGTGTACATACATGGACTCCTCGAGTTACGAAGATTCGACTTACGAACTTTCAGAGATACGAACAGACCTGTCCGTAGGTCCAGTCGCCTGTTCGGACCGAGCCATGAGTTCAACCGCCACGCGATGGATGGTGGTGGTGGCATCTACATTAGCAGAACATGAGGAACCGGTGGCATCTACATGTACAGGGAATAGTACAACTTTTAAAACCATTCCCTGTGTTTAGTGTGCACGTCGTACAATGTGTTTGGAATCGACAGCAGTAAAGTTGGACGTACAAACAAATCGACTTACGAATGGACCTCTGGAACCTAACTTGTTCGTAAGTAGAGGAGTCCCTGTAACACATTCCTGCGGAGGGAGCTGGTAGCAACGTTGGGTTGCTCGGTCAATGGCCAGGATCAACGGCGGCATGGTGTATTCCGCAAATATGGCCGACTGTGAGGGCGGGCACAAGCCGGCGTGAGTAGGTTAAACGTTGAGTTTTATAAGGGCACCACGGGGTGACCAGCCCCTCCCCACCCAGCCCCACCCCTCCCTCCCACCCCCACCCAGCCCCACCCTCCCCACCCAGCCCCTCCCCTCCCTCCCCACCCAGCCCCTCTCCACCCACCCCTCCCCACCCAGCCCCTCCCCACCCAGCCCCACCCCTCCCACCCCCCACCCAGCCCCACCTTCCCCACCCAGCCCCTCCCCACCCCCCCCACCCAGCCCCTCCCCACCCAGCCCTTGCCTCCCCACCCAGCCCCTCCCTGCACGACGGACACAATAATCCCCTGTGGGCTGGTGTAACCAGGAGGGTTCCTACCAGTATATATGCGTATATATTTCTAGACGGTTTTCGGCAGAGCACGCAAGAAACTCATCATTCTCCGCTTCCCGTGATCGTACGTGTCGTGGATTAGAGCCGCACGCAGCCCGGGGAGACGGCGGATGGCCACCGCTGGTTTACAACCCCGGGTGGGAGCCTGCCGACGGCGATGACGGCGATCTCCGTGTCTCTGTGCGTGCGCGCTCACGGCAGGCGTTTGGGGAAGAGAAGTACCTGCGCGACGCGCTCGAGTGCGGCGAGGTGGTGTGGCAGCGCGGCCTCCTGCGCAAGGGCTACGGCCTGTGCCACGGCGTCGCGGGCAACGCCTACGCCTTCCTGGCGCTCTACCGCGCCACGGGCGAGCACGGGCACCTGTACCGCGCGTGCCGGGTACGTCACGGCGATCCTCCTCGCCGCAGCATCCCCCCGCCCCGCTCCCCCGTGTGCGTGTTCGGCGGTAACGTGGTCGGTTATCGAGCGCACCGCGCACGCTATGACCACGCCGAACCGAGTTTGTAATGATAATTTTGCATTTGTAACGTGGCGCATTTCATCCGTAGATCCCTACCAATGCGCCACCGTGTATGGAAAGCCAGGAAGTAAGCAGAACCTGGAGGGTTAACGGCTAGAACTAGTGGGGGGGTAAAAGCCAGTTTACCCACTCACTCACCCTCTTACGCAACCACTCGCTCACCTACTTACTCACCCACCCACTCAGAACCAGGGTAAACAGCCAGAAATAATGGGAGGTAAAGGCCAGTTTACCCACTCACTCACCCTCTCATGCAACCACTCGCTCACCTACTCATCTACTCACTCACCCACTCATGCAAACCATTCACTCACCTACTCATCTACTCACTCACCCATTCACCCACTCACTCACTCACTCACCCACCCGCTCACTTACCCACCCAACTTAGAACCAAGGTAAACGGCCAGAACTAGGCAGGGGTAAAGGCCAGTTTTAAAGAGGCGAGTTTTCAAGACAGACTTAAATATAGCGTCACGATAATGATCGTTCGTATCGGCAAAGCCAAAGCATTCCAAAGCTTGGGAGCTGCACCTGGAAAATGTCCGATCACCAACATCATTGACGAATATATGAACCGGGCCTGGGCCTCCCCTGGGTCGACTCGGCCTCAAATTAGTATCCAGTGTGGTGAAAAAACATCATCACTTGAGAGACAAAGGCAACCGGGCACGATGCCTTGCCGACCGCGTTGCTTTGCCGGCCTAAATATGCGCATGCCAACATCGCTTGCTATAATATGGAGGATCTTTGTCTCTTTCTGCGTATGTCTGTGTGCATATGTGTGTACGCTTGTGGGGAGCGGTAGTGTAGCGGTTAGCGCGCCGCGCTATGAACCTGGCAACCCGGGTTTGATTACCGCTCAAGGCTAACACCAGTGACGATTATCTGAACCGGTCCTGGGCCTCCCCTAGGTCGACTCAGCCTTAAATGAGTACCCGGTGCGATGTGTAAACATCGGCACTGGGGAGACAAAGGCGGTCGGGCGTGGTGCTGGCCACCCACCCCCTCGTGTACCGTTCTGGCCTTCATAGGTGCTCGCCAACAGCACTTGCCCCTACAGTCTGTTAAGTCTATACGGGGGATCTTTGTATCTTTGTACGCTTGTGTGTGTGGGGAGGGGTGAGTGTGCTGTGCTACGACCACCCGAGTTCGATTCCCGCTCATGGCCAACACCAGTGACGATTATCCGAACTGGTCATGGGCCCTGCCCCTCGAGTTGTATAGCTCATGATTCCTCCTGCAGTGTAAATGTTCTGATTCTAACTCTTGATTTTCATCTTCTTGGTTCTTTCGGTAAAGTCACGTAGAAGGGAAATAATAAAATAATAAAAATAAAACATAATAAAATAATTCTCACGACGTTTCGGCCACAACGCAAGCAGCCGTCCTCAGGTAAAGAACAGGTCTGTCGAGAAGACAGAGTCTGAATGACAACCCCAGGCTTGGAGCGTCTTTTTAAGCTGGGTTGGAGGGGGGGAAGAGCGCCTTGACAAAATGACGCTCCAAGCCTGGGGTTGTCATTCAGACTCTCTCTTCTCGACAGACCTGTTCTTCACCTGAGGACGGCTGCTTGCGTTGTGGCCAAAACGTCGTGAGAATTATTTTATTATGTTTTAATTTTATTATTTTATTACTTCCCTTCTACGTGACTTTACCGAAAGAACCAAGAAGATGAATCCCTGCAGTCACGAAAGCTTTAAATCGAAATCTTGATTTTCAGTTTGCGGAGTGGTGCTTGGATTATGGGAAGCACGGATGCCGAATTCCAGATCGACCCTTCTCACTATTTGAAGGTATAACACAAAGATCCCCCATTATCAGGGTTGTGTTTTTTGTTTGCATTCCGACCGCAGGTATTGTGGTCAATGCAAACATGACTCGTTGTAAAATAAAATATTAAAAAATACTTTTTTTTTAAAACACGCTTGAATGAAATGTACTGTCCGAGCTGCCCCTACCCCTGCCGCCTTCCCCCATCGCCCCTCCCCTCCTTCCCCCCCCCCGCCCTGGGCGTGGCTCCCCGAGGCTTGTCGTGACGTAAGGGACCACGTGATGATATACGGCCAACGTGAGTTGAACGTGGACAATTAGAGCCGTTAAAAAAGATTGTTTAAAAAAAGATATATATTTTTTAAATGATAGAATATAGTATTGTTTTCAGTATGACAAACCTATACCAAGTTTGCAGTCGATACGACATTGGGAATATGGTTGAAATTGAGTTACAAGATTTTTGTATACGATAACACATACAGTAAGTTAAAGAAAAGCGTGTAAAAAGTTTTTTTAAAATATGTTTTGCATTTTTTATGATAGAATATCGTGTTGTCATCAGTATGACATACCTATACAAAGTTTGCAGTCGATAGCACATTGGGAAATGTGTAAAAATTGAGTTACAAGATTTCTTTTTTGAGGATACAACAGACGAAGTGAGTTAAATAAAAGCGTGTAATAAAAAGGTGTCAGTTTTGTTGCCAGATAAAAGGGTAAAAAAAACAATTCTCCAGCCACTCGTGTGTAACAGCTGCAGCTGTATACTATACTCTTAGGTTTTTCGGTAAAGTCACATAGGTAAAAAATAGATAATAATAAATAATAGAAATAATGATAGAAATAAAATAATAATAAATAATAGAAATAATAATAGAAATAAAATAATCATTTATATTATCTTCTTGGTTTTTTCGGTAAAGTCACGTAGAAGGGAAATAATAAAATAATAAAAATAAAACATTTAATAATTCTCACGACGTTTCGGCCACAACGCAAGCAGCCGTCCTCAGGTGAAGAACAGGTCTGTTGGGAAGACAGCATCTGAATGCTGACCTGTTCTTCACCTGAGGACGGTTGCTTGCGTTGTGGCCGAAACGTCGTGAGAATTATTTAATGTTTTATTTTTATTTATTTATTATTTCCCTTCTACGTGACTTTACCGAAAGAACCAAGCAGGTGAATCCCTGCAGTCACGAAAGCTTTAAATCGAAAATTATATTTTTTCTTTTTTACCTATGTGACTTTACCGAAAAACCTGAGAGTTTGAATCCTCGCAGTCACGAAAGCTTCACATCTAGCTGTATATTAACGAGCGCTGCCTCGCAGTACGTGCCTCGCCGTTGTGTGGATGAGCCAGCAGAACAATGTTTGCACTTCCCCCCTTCCCCCCCCCCCCGTTGACTGCAGGTATGGCTGGGACCATTCACTTCCTCGTGGATATGCTGAGACCGGACACTTCCCGCTTCCCCGCGTTCGAGTTGTAACCCGCGAGCGAGGACGACCGCGGGGGTCGCATGGTTCACGATTGTAATCGACAGAGTGGCGAGATGTTAACTCCCTCGCCTGTTATGCAGGAGGTCGTGGGTTCGTACCCGACCCTGACGATGCCTGTACCATTTCGGAGTGTGAATGTTCTCCCCGTGGTCGTGTGGATCTTTGCTCCGGGTCCTCTGTTTTTTTTCCAACCCCACCACATTTCGAATCGACGTCACGCGTTAAAGAGTGTTTGGGCTGCTCTAAATGTCCACGTGATGATGATGATGATGAGCCCACTTCGTTGAGCTATCATTTGCGATAGCCAGGTCGCTTCTGGAAAAAGCTTCATCGCTCAGCGGGGCCTTACCTGGTCAAATTAGTTGGTGTCAGTAATTGACGAGGCTCGATATCGCGCGCGTGCATGCCGCAGCGAGAGTCACGGGGAGGAGGGCGTGTTTGGTGGATCGCGAAGATGCCTGCGTCGTAGGTGGTAGTACAGCAAGCAGGCTGCCGACATATCTCCACACATTTGAGAGCGTTCACCACCTCTGTACGCGAGTTTCGTACGGCTGCTCCTGTGCCAATTTTTTTTTTATTTTGAAAGGGAATTGAACCTTATGGCGGAACCCCGGGGTCCCAAATATACGGAAGTCAAAATCGAAATTTATTTATTTTGGACGACTCCGTCCCACCGCGCACATAAACGTCGCGACACACCTGGCACGGATCATTCTGTTGTCGTGTCGTCCCAAGCGCAGCGAGGACGAATGCACAAAAGAAACAAAACTTTGAAACTTTTATTAGCGCATCGTGTAGAGCTCATCGAGAGGAATAGATTGCCGTATAGTTCGCCTTCAACAGACACAAAACGTGTTGCAACGCAATTTTATGCGAAGCGGGGGCTTATGGGACCCCCCGGGGTTCCGCCATAAGGATCAATTGGCCAAACCTAAAAATGTGTAAATAAGTACACGGCCAAACAAAAAAAATGCGTCAGTGTTAAAAGTATTGAAATAGAAACGAGCACTGAGTGCGGCATGCAGAGAGGTCGGCCTAATAAACGTGCGCTCCCAAACACTGCCAAGTTTAAACGTGGCAAGGGGAACTGGCATGGTACCCCCCCGGCTTAAATTGAAGGGCAGAGGGGGAGGTTGTGTAGATTCTCTCTTTTGCTTTTTGGTGAATTGCTGCAATTCATGGGTCACAATTTCATTCGTGGTTTATTTTGTTTTTACTTTCTACGATGTGGTCAATATCGCAGCCTCAAGTGGCTGGAGGAGTCACGTGAGCTGGGGTTTGCTGCCATTGACGACGCACACGAAATAAGATCCGACGAATATAGCATCGGTTGTTTTCCAAAAATATCCATTAGTTGCTTTAATTTAAAAAAATGTTGACGGGGCGCCACGTTGACGAGATGTTAGTTATCTCTCCTGGTATGCAGGAGGGCGTGTTCGATCCTGACTTGGAGACCTGTTGTATATTTGGAGTTTGCATGTCTCCCCGTTGTTGCGAGGATTTTTCTCTGGGGCCTGTTTTTTCCCCTCCAGTTAGAATCTGTGCGTTTAGAGAATTTGGCTGCTATAAATTTCCACAAGCCACTTCGTTGAGCTATCATTTGTGGCCAGGTTGCTTCTAAAAAGAGCGGGCCTTACCTGGTAAAACAGTTTAGTTTTAGTTTATTTTCTGACAATTTGTGAATATAGCAATTCAAGATTTTTATTAGTCCTTACTTGGTAAAAAGTTGACCGAGTTTTATTTCCTTTGTTGTAGTCAATTAGGTTGTCGTGTAAAATGTCTTGTAAAAAAGAATTGTAAACTTACAATAAGCAGACAACTGAACATTCCTCAACAGTGGCCATCAAAGTAAATATTAGGTAACGTTTCAGGCAATGGCCTTCACAGCACAGAGGCCAGAGAATAGTGGCTTCTGTGAGGAGCCATTGTCCGAAACATCACCTGCTTTATTTTTCCTTTTAAAAGGCATTTGTTGACCGTTAAGTATATTGTTATTTGTGCACCACGGCTAACGCAGTCGCCAAATAATTTGGTGATCTTGAGACAGACTGTAAGTGCTAAGCACAAAAGCAGAACATTTAAAAGTGGCAAATGTATTTTCAAAGTCTGGGAAAAGTGATCTCGCGATAATTTCCGTGTCGTGAACATTGCCATCGTATCGTGAAAGCAACACGGCAACCTAAACACGTGAACCCATGACATCCAACATGTATGAATCGCCAAAACATTGCTTCCAACAATTCTATGCATGTATTCCACACCAGAAGAAATGATATCTTTGAGCCACTCCAAAGTTGCGACCTGGTCCTTAACGGTCATGAAAGCTGACAATGCGAGTGCAAAGTTAACCAGGTGTACATTGTGTATCTGCGTCTCTATCATCCAAGGCTGTATATTGTTTCTGCATGAGAATATAGTGCGATTTTATTTTCTAAAACATGACTTTGGTTGTTTGCATTTTGTAAAAGAAAATGCCTTAAAAATCTCATTGAAAATGGATATTTGTCAACATGTACTTTTGCCAGTGGCAGCTAGGGTCTAATATGGGTTGTTGGGGGCCCCATCTACAACATTCAAATTCAGACACTTTTTGAAGCTACTCAAAATGTTTTAGTGAAACTATTGCAAAGTAAAAAAATCTAATCAAAGGGCTAATTGGCTTTACACTGCAGAGTAGCCTAAGGACAATCTTATACAGGTAGGAACAACAGTTCCACACTGCCCACCAGGGATTATTTGTCTGTCGTGCATAGCCACGTGACGTGCCCCCCACGCAGCTTGCGCCGGGTCACACGGATCGCACGAATGCGCTGTCCAACCAAGTTCCTACCTGCCCACTCCAAAGGAACGTGTTTTCAAGATAATCTGTACTGAAGATTCATGGGTCTGAATTTCTACACAGATGTTGGCTTCTAATTGGCCGATTCTAATCCCACCCAGACAGGGGATGGTTGTCGCCTAGGGGCAATCCTTCGATCACTGACCAGTTACAAGCAATCTTCTCCAGGACTATTTGCATTTGCCTTGCCCTATTTAAACAGAGGTTGCCTGTTAGGTTTCATCATAGATTGTAAAGTTACAATGATTAGAAGGCTTACAACTGAATATTCATCACTGTGGCCTTAGGGACTTAAACGAGTTATGTTCCAGGTCTGTTCATAAGTCAATTTGTTCCTAAGTCCAACTATTCCTGTCTATTCTAAACATGTTGTACAGCGTGTACACAAAACACAGGGAATGGCTTTACAAGTCGTATAATCTCCTGAAGATGCCACTAGTTCTTCATGTTCTGCAGATGTAGTTGCCACCACCGCCATCTATTGAATTTACGACTGTCCAAAACAGCCAACTGGACACAGACGGGCTTTCTTTGTGTCTGATAGTTCATAAGTAGAATGTTTGTAAGTAGAGAAGTCCCTGTATTATATAACGTTTCAGTCAACGACCCTTCTTTGCAGCACAAACTACCACCGCCCCCCCCCCAGCACACTGCTCCCACAAACACTCGCACAAATTTCACAATAAAGGGAACTTTATTTTTTTGGACAACACGAAAGCAGAGAGGCTGTGGAGACTGCGGCGCTGCCAACACACATTTGTACAAATGTGCCTAATTGCAAGTGACAAGTGCAGCGGTTTTTCTATCCCGAGGAGTTTTGCGTAATCATTAAGAGCTGGCGGACCAAGTGGACAATTTACAGTGCCTGCTGCTGCTCCTCAGCCAACCTCTCGGCCTTGGTGACAACCTCCTCAATGGGCCCCACCATGTAGAACGCAATTTCTGGGAGGTGATCCATCTCACCTGTAGGGGTCACATACACGCGCGTGCCAATCAATTACACAATCGTTATTTTGTATATGGCGCCTTGCTCGATTACGAAACAAGAAATCTTCAGAGCACGGCTTAGAAAAAAGAAATCTGAAAATATATCTATTACACAAACCGCATTTAAAAGTGTTTCCCAAACTTGGTCTTTGCAAACGTAATTTTGTTTTAATACTTGAATATACATACAACTTTAAGAACAGAATAAAAGTGTTCCAGTAACAATCGGAACTCGCTGTGAGGTCAAGCACTGGAGCTGTGCAATCAGATTAAGTAATCAATCAATCAACTCAGAATCAACTCATTCAACAGTGCAATTACTTGACTAATAGGGTAAGACCAATATAGTTGGGGGGAAAAAGATCTCCCTGATAATGGGACTTGATGACAGTATCAGCCGCATCACGCTGGGCCTGGCCTGTCGGGCCATTTGCCATGTCTTTTTTAAAGCTTCAGAGTAATCGACCACACGCAATATCAATGCTGCTTCCAAATCAGGAATTGGCTAAACTGTGCTTAGACTACATAATCGCGCACAGTAAGCTGGTGGTCTTGTTCATTAATGAGTACACGTAATAAAAGGGTCAAGGATGAAGTTTGGTAATCATTAACTTATGGCTCAAGCCAAAGCCACCATTGATAATTAAATAATATGATGCAGGGGTCAAGGTAAAGCGGCCACCAAATTCCCACACGAGATCGTGCAGCTGTTGCAAAGTCATTTTAGTGAGGAACGCTAACACCAATTACTTTCTTACAGTTTCCCACCACGGTACTGATAAGAAAGACAAAGGTTCCCCATATATAGCCCCATATATAGCCTTTACATGTTGTTGGGACAAGTGCTGTTCGGGAGCAGCACCGCTGAAGGCCGGCACACGGTACACGACGGGAGCCATCCCCTTTCCTCACCAGCCTCTGGGTGCCACCCCAAAATCCATCAATTATCTGCCCTCCCCCCTCTGACCTGCACGCGCGTCCACCCATCACGACCTCCCCCCTTCACGATAACATCAGGCAACCTTTTCTCGGCATGAGCCATTCCTAAAATCGGCGCGCACTGGACTAAAAAAACGCACGCATCGCGCAAGACTGCCTGGTGTGGCAAGGAGACAACTTGAGTAAACCACAGACAGACACGGGGGGAGGCAGTGTAGTCATACCTCCGAGGATCATCTTGAATCCCTTGATGGTGTCCGCGAGAGGCACCAGCTTGCCCTGGTGGCCTGTGAACACCTCGGCCACCTGCGAGAGAGGCACGCGTACATAGCGTCAGCCTTGGGCTCAAGCAACTCACTTCAGAGGCGATGTGGTCCTGGCAAACTTGGTATAACTCAATACATCCCCCGTTGTCTAGAGTTATGTTTTTGTGTTGACAGCAGGCAACTTAAGGGGCTGACAAAAAGTATTTCGGTTCACTGTGTGACCATCTGTCGAGGAGATGATGCAATCGTCACCAGTGAATTGCAAAGTGCTACAATTGAGACACTGCAGGATATGTTAATACATGCAAAAAAATCTATTTTTTTTTTTCAAGGACCACTTAATTAACTTTTAGAATTGGGTAAAAATACATTACACTCAGAAAGCTGCAAACAAAGATAATGGATGAAGTGTATAACAAATAACCAACAAAATTTAACTTTTTTGCAACGACCATTTTTAACACAACCACGTAAATGTTACAGCCATGGCATGGGAGTTGTTCTAACATACTTCACCGCACTGGTTAGTGCGAGTTCATGAATGTGAGGGGAGGAGGCATCCCACCCAGGACGTGTGTTCACGACCATTTGCTGTGGCCAGTAATCGAACCCATGTTGCAACGTTCAGAGCAACACGCTAAGCACTGCTGCACCACACGGAGAAAGTGTATGCATGTTTAACCTATTTCGCACCGTCCATAGCCAACTATGCTCATTGGTGGTACGGGGGAAAGAAACTAAACACAAAAGTAATTCTAAAAAAACAAGTTTTCAATCTGGATTTTAAAGTGTGGCTTGAGTGGCTTCCGATTATTGGAAGAACGTTCCAGACGGCCGTTGAATAGTTTGCAGACACACATCAGTTTAACACGTAGGCTTTCGCGACCAATATTGAGAGGCTTTTTGGGTTAGATTGCGTAAATGTGTCATTAAAAACCGCCACAGCCAACTAGTAAGGGTTGTCATGTAAACAGTACATGCCAATTCGTCACTAGTACAGCACACCGGTGTGTTGGAGAGCCAAGCCACAATATTTAAAATCACACACATACTATAAAGAGCTATTTAATGTAGATCTTTAGGGGGATGTTTTCTCCCCCCATCACGATGGGCAGCAATCGCCCCCCCCTCACCTGGAAGGGCTGCGATAGGAAGCGCTGGATCTTGCGAGCGCGAGCGACCGTCAGTTTGTCCTCCTCCGACAGCTCGTCCATACCCAGGATAGCGATGATGTCCTGCAGGGACTTGTAATCCTGAGGAGTGGCGAGTGACGAGAAGGAAACGAGCGTTTTAGACCGGCCAAAAACCGTGCAACAGCTCTCCTGCTAAATCAACTCACCCTTGCCAGGCGAGAGCCAGTGTTGGCTTTGTAACCAGCAAGAGCTCATACCCGTGTATTCAGAATCAGAATCTTTATTTATACCGTAAGAATATGATGAGCTATGAAGCTCATTTTCACAAATGTCCCATAGGGACGGGTCAAAAACATAGCGGAAAGTATCGGAAAGGTAAGCAAATGACTAAAATGTTTATTTTACCAGGTGAAGCCCACCGCGCTATTTGGCTTCTCTTTCAAAAACCACCTGGCCACAAATGACAGCTCGACGAAGTGGTTGAACATATTCGCTGGGACATCAGAGCCACACGGTGTGGGTGGTTCGCTGTTTAGCAGACTAAGCCAGGACCAAACCGTGAGGCAAGACATCTAATCCTGGCTGAATGCCAAGCAGAGCCAGGGGTAGGGGGGGTTCTGCAGTTGTAAAAGCCACTCGCTTATCCCATAACCAAACCAGCCATGTGCTGTAACACCATGTACCAGCTTAGCCAAGCCCTCTCTCTCAGTCAACCAGTCCCTCTATCTGTGTACTTTAGTTTTTTACATGGTTGTTTAGTTATTGCAGCTACATACTATTAACATTCCTTCCCTTTATTAATGCTACCCCTATCCCCTCCCTTTGATGCTGCTAATCCTGCATAATGCACGGGCATAATGACTTTGAAACCCCCCGCCCACCTACTACGCATTTCACAAGTAGTACTAATCACATATCTGCATTTCCCATAAATATGCTAAATTCCTCTTGATATGCAAATAATTTTGTCAAGGCGCTCTCCCCCTTCCAACCCAGCTTAAATATACGCTCCAAGCGTGGTGGTGTTTCATTCAGACGCTGTCTCCCCGACAGACCTGGTCTTCACCTGAGGACGGCTGCTTGCGTTGTGGCCGAAACGTCGTGACAATTATATTATGTTTTATTTTTATTATTTTATTACTTCCCTTCTACGTGACTTTACCGAAAGAACCAAGAAGATCAGTCCCTCTAAGCTTGACCACATAACCTCAACCGGACAGAGCAAGCGAGGTGGGGGGGGGGAGGCACCCACCTGGAGGATCTTCTGCACGCCACGAGCCACCTCGTAGTGCTCCAGGCCCACAATGTTGGGGTCCATGATACGCGAGGTGGAGTCGAGGGGGTCCACCGCCGGGTAGATGCCAAGCTCGGCGATGGCACGCGACAGCACGGTCGTGGCGTCCAAGTGAGCGAAAGTAGTGGCCGGGGCAGGGTCGGTCAAGTCGTCAGCCGGCACGTAGATGGCCTGCGTGGCGGTGTCAAGGTGGAGGAGTGAGCGGACTGTGAATCATCAGTGGGCGTTGACGATTCATCCCACCCTTCTTTACGTCATCGTGCTGCTGTGATTGATATGCAACTTGGTTTCGGAAATAATTTGAACTGCTTAGGTTTTCTCATTCGTTGCAGCATCCTTTAGATATCGTTCAGATATGGTTTTGCAATTTTGGTAAATATTTCTTATGTACCATGATTTAATTATCCACCAAGAAGGCTAAGGATCGATTTTAGTTTATAAAATTAAAACACTGTTCAGCGCCACATGGTGATCGTCCCACGTGGCAAAAAAGACAACTCACTGTCAATCATTGTCTGGGATTTGTCGCTATCTGCCAGTTCTGCAGTAGACTTTAGACGGAAATGTTATTTAAAGCTTACAAGGCATAAGCATCGCACCTTTGTGAGTTTGTGCTATGAAAATGGCGAGATTATCAAGTGTACATCCTTGGTGTCTACGCGAGTCTATTGGCCCCCCATGTAGACTCAAGTGGGATGTCGCACGCACCTTGCCGAGGAGCCTTTGTGCTCTAAAAAACGGTGCCAATACCAAAGGTACTTGCAACACGCCTACCATACGCAGAGCACATTCACATGTGCGCACGTAAGGAGGACCAGTCTCAACTCCCGTACGCAGACTCTTGCACAAATCCTCCTCGTCCCCTTATTTGACCGTCCCTCGCCGCAGCACCCTCTCTCTCATCCCCCCGCCTCACCTGCACGGAGGTGATGGAGCCCTTCTTGGTGGTGGTGATGCGCTCCTGCATGGTACCCATGTCCGTGGCGAGCGTTGGCTGGTAACCCACAGCGGAGGGGATACGCCCAAGAAGAGCAGACACCTGCGTGCAATCCGTGGGTGGGGGAGCGGAAACAAAAAAAAAGGGTTTGCAAAAGCACCCCGACTACCCGACCAACAACTTCCCGTAGCCACTGCATTATCACAGGGAAATCAGTGGCCCACTTCTCTTTCAGAAGGGTCCCCCTGCTTTTATTATTGTGTTATATTTTCGTTCGTTGCGTTAGCCGTCTTGCTCTGTTATAAATCCTGTGACGGTATTAAAAAAAAACAGGACACGCGTGTACAAACATCGGCACATGTACATGCTCAGCTAAACACGGAGACATGCGCGTGTCAAACACAATATAAAGAAATGTGGATGTTTATATTCGAGATCCCTGCAGCAGAACACGTGAAGCAAAACTTGCATAGAGGGTGAAATAACACCGCTGCTAAACCCTCCTCAGCTATAGAAAATTAACATCACTGCTTTCAGAAGAACGAAAGTCATAATTTTTCTCATCATCGGAGGGAATAGCTTCTACAGCAACATGGCACCTGAGCACCCAACTAGGATGTAAAATTACGAGTTTCCAAAAGACGTTATGAATGATAATTGTATTCTTGTGTTTTATTATTGTGGTGTCAGTTGTGCGATGCGAGTGGTGTTGTCTTGGACATTAGGTTGGCTGTGGGTGTATGTTGGTTATATTTTGTTCCTAGTTGAGAAACTTTAACTATGTTTTCTGTGTTCATGTTAGTATTAGTTGCGTTATGTATTCTCACATTATCATTGTTGGTCCTTTATATTACTCGAGTTAGCCGTGTGCGTGTTACGCGAGGTACGTTAGCCGTGTGCGCGCGTGTCACATTATCTCGTTACGTTGTGTCACATGAGCCGTGTGTGTGTGGGCCGCACGGCTCCCGTGGCACCTCGGAGCCGGCCTGTGTGAAGCGGAAGATGTTGTCGATGAAGAGCAGCACATCCTGGCCCTCCTGGTCACGGAAATACTCGGCCACCGTGAGCCCCGTCAGGGCGACACGGGCACGGGCGCCGGGCGGCTCGTTCATCTGCCCGTACACCAGCGCCACCTGCAGGGAGCAGCGAGCGACAAGAGTGAGCAATCGCATCATCACAGGGGCTGGTAGTGGGGGCGCGATGAATGTACGAGTGAATGAGCAGAAGGTAGGTGTGTGAATGGGTGAGTAGCTGTCTGGCTAACTGGTTGCCTGGCTGGCTGGATTTCCTGGGCAATTGGGGTGGCCGATCGCCCGGCGAGTTGGGTAGCTCAGTCGTGTAGTTGGCTGGGTGGCTAACTTGACTGGCTTAATCCTACGTCTGGTTTCTAGGTCATTATGAGCTACGCAGATCGAGTGGCTGGTTTGATAACTGGATGTCGCTTTGGGCAATATAGCCGACTGGTTAGCGACCTGCCTGCTTTTTCTGGATGACCATTTGAATGCTTGGATGTCTGCGTGTCCCTGGTTCGCTGGATAGCTGCCCGTTTGCCTTGCCGGGTTGGACAAGCCGACTGACCAGCTACCTCAGTTAATTTCTGGGTACGCAAGGTGACTGGTTAATCAACCGCTTACTTGTCCTGCTCACTGGTTAGCTTTGTGTGCGACTTGCTGCCTGGTTACCCCCCCCCCCACCCCTATACAGTAATCCCTCGCCACTTCGCGGTTCAAGTTTCGCAGCCTCAGTGCATCGCGGATTTTTCTAACTGATTTAAAGGCCTCATTATACCTGTGCAGTAACACCATCATCATCATTCATAATCATATTCATCGAACTACACAGGTCTGTCATCGTCGTCATTGTAATCGTCGTCGTCATTACTGGAGTCAAGTCTCAAGATACTACTGTCATTGGTGAGTGTAAAACACCATAATACGTATCGTATGAGAGAGAGAGTGAATGTATAATATTAAGGTTTTATAATTAACTAGATTTAAGTAAAATATATATATATATAAAGTATAAATATACATATTTTAAACATTCTGATACCCACACACACATATACGGAAATTCCCAGGGGGCCAATCCTACTTCACGGATTTTCACCTATCGCGAGGGGTTCCGGTCCCCATTAACCGCGATAAACGAGGGATCACTGTATTTAAAGTTGTACCCTCTAAGCTGAGCAAGCCTGGTGTGGGGAAGAGAGGGGAGGATGGAGGGCGGCACCTTGGAGGTGGTGTCCTTGAGGTTGATGACACCGGACTCAATCATCTCGTGGTAGAGATCGTTGCCCTCGCGCGTGCGCTCCCCGACGCCGGCAAACACAGAGTAGCCTCCGTGCGCCTTTGCCACGTTGTTGATCAGCTCCATGATGAGCACAGTCTTCCCTACGCCGGCACCACCGAAGAGACCTGCGCCATGTCACGCCGCGTGTCAGGGGGGCAGCGCGGGCAAAGACAAGCGGTGGTGCGCTTGCCACCATTACGTATGGCGAGGTGGGAAAAGAGTGGTCAACAGACTCACCCCCCCCCCACCCCCGCTACAAGAATAAGGAATTTCCACCAACTGCATTCTAAGTGGGAATTAAGCACCGCCTCTCTGTGCTGACATGAGCAAGAAATCACCAACTTTTTTGTAATTAACTGCAAAATTACATGCCGTCTGCTTCCCAGTGGGCGTTAAAAATCCCATAACTATCTTAAAACCAGCAGATGTGTGCAAGCGACCAGATCCAAATTTGCCAAATTATCAAATTACTTGGGTAAAAACACACAAAGCAACATTACCCGTGACTGCAAAAAATGATCAGGAACCTCCTAAAATAAGTCTCTGGACTCGGTGGCTTTGCTGGATAAAAGGGCACTATGGCAAAATCAGTCTCTCCCCCACTTAAACCTACAATGGGACAGCTAGTGGTGGAGATTGCACATGTGTTCTTTAGTCATGACCACCACTGCCAACTTCTCACAACACAGCACTGATTTGATCAACTCCATAGGCATGGCATGTGTACACACACGTAGCCAAACAGAGACATCAATACAGATGTATGAATGTGAGGGGTTAACATTTGAAAACCACTCCCGTAGAATGTTGATAAGCAAAACGTGCATCGAATTAAATGCTGCAAAACCCTCCTCAGTTAAAAATAAATTAACATCACTGCTTTCAGAAGAACGAAAGTCATTTTGTTTCTCATCATCGGAGGTTAGAAGTTTGCAGCAACGTCGCACGTGAATGAACACCTAACCGGGAACTAAACCTAAAACCTTGCAATTGAGTCAGTTGCTTACAGAACCACACCAAATGGCTGCAAATGCCAGACAAATATGGGTCTTCGGTCATTCGACCAAAATAGGTCGATGACCGATTGGGCACGACAGTGACGAGATGTTAAATACCTTGCCTAAATATGCAGGTGGTCGTAGATTCGATGCTATAAATTTCTCACGTGATAAGCCACTTCGTGGAGCTATCGTGTGTGGCCAGGTTGCTTAAGAGATATATTATAGCTCAGTGGGCCTTACCTGGTAAAGAGAAACTATTTTAGTTTAGTTCAAAGCCAAGCTTTACAATCCTCACACCCACAATGGGCTCACCGATCTTGCCACCCTTGGCATACGGGGCCAGCAGATCGACCACCTTGATGCCGGTCACCAGGATCTCCTGCTCCACGCTCATCTCCACAAACTCGGGAGCTTCCGCGTGGATGGCAGCAAACCTGCACCGCAGCACGCACACGTGAACACACACAGACACGTGAACACAGAGAGCACCGATGAAGGCCGGCATGGCACACGGGAGGGGTGGGTGGCCGACGTCACACCCTGCCACCTCCGTCTCCCCTGTGGTGTTTACACACCGCACCGGATATGCATTTAAGACGGAGTTCTACCTCTGGGAGACCCGGAACCGGTTCAGATAATCATCAATGTTGGCCGTGAGCGGGAGTCGAACTTTAGTCGCCTGGTTTGTTCTGCAGTGCTAACCACTCTGCCACCACTCCCCAAAAAGACAGCCACAGAATGGCATTTTGCACCGTACGTAGTCAATCTTGCTAATCGGAGATTCATACAAAATATACGTGGGTAAAAGAAGTTAGGAGTGGATGAGAATCACTGCTATCGATTACATCGATCACAAAGCTTGCACCAAGAGTGAAATAATTCCAGCGCAAACCCCCCTTTCAGTTTAAACAAAACTTTACATCATGGCTTTCAGAAGAACGAAAGTCTTAATTTTTTTCATCATCGGAGGGAAAGGCTTCTGCAGCATCGCGTGACGTTCACATCTTCCCAGAATTATGGAGGAAATTCAATTATATTGATCCAACATATTGGTTGTGCTCAAAAAGTCATAACGTTTGCTTCTGATACAAAGTTTTATTTGAATGTCTATCATTCTTCGAGCAAACCGGCCACCTCAAATACAAAAAAAATATCAGTCTACCAGGCTCATTTTCATTAATGGCCCTGAACTGGTGGTGGAAATTCCATATTCCATTGACTTGCCCACAGAGATGTGGATTTAAGTACACGTTCTACATACATACAGTACATATATACACACATTTGCCATGTCTGAGCTACCTCTGTGCATTGAAATCCCTTATAACATCATCAGTCAACTAGATAATTTCGCCAGTCACCCTTTATACAGTAGTCGCGGTCATCATGGTGCGCAATAATTTTCACCATCTCAGTCATTGACAACTAAACTAAAAAATATTCATCTTCTTGGTTCTTTCGGTAAAGTCACGTAGAAGGGAAGTAATAAAATAATACAAATAAAACATAATAAAATAATTATCACGACGTTTCGGCCACAACGCAAGCAGCCATCCCTCAGGTGAAGACCAGGTCTGTCGGGGCTTCTGAATGACGCTGTCTCCCCGACAGACCTGGTCTTAACCTGAGGGACGGCTGCTTGCGTTGTGGCCGAAACGTCGTGAGAATTATTTTATTATGTTTTATTTTTATTATTTTATTACTTTCCTTCTACGTGACTTTACCGAAAGAACCAAGAAGATGAATCCCTGCAGTCACGAAAGCTTTAAATCGAAAACTAAAAATTATTCCCGTCAATATTTTTAGCGCTCATCTCGTCAAACGGAACCAACACTGTCGCGGCAGACACTCACTGCTTGGAGCTGATGGGCCCCCTCTCGTCGATGGGCTCCCCGATGACATTCATGATGCGTCCCAGCGTCTCGGGCCCCACGGGGATGCGGATGGGAGTGCCCGTGTCCAGGCACACCTGCCCGCGCACCAGCCCCTCCGTGCCGTCCATGGCGATGGTGCGCACCGTGCTCTCACCTGCACGCGGCGACCAGGACAGAGGCGGCACATATTCGGTTCATCTCGGATTAATAACGGCGTTTAACTGGACGTGTTATGATGCGCATCCCCAGTGGAGCGCGCTAACCACAACACTGCTCCCGTCGATGTGTAATACACAGCTGCGTTGAATGATAGCCCTTTCATTATCACGGACCGGTTCGCCAAGTCTCAAGACTTTCAGGCGAGTTTTGCATTGTAGTGTTCGACAAATTCCTTCGTTAAATATTTTGCATGTGGGAAAAACCTGAGAAATCCAAGAAACACAAATACATCAGGAAACAACCTTCAGATGTGTTTATAGGTCAACACAACCACCTTCATGCTATTACAGGAGGTAAAACATTTCACGAACTTTAATTGCCACGAGTGTTTTATTTTAATCTGCATAACCTGCTACAGAAATATAATGTTTACATCAGGCCTCGGAAGAATGTTGATATTTTATGTTCATCGCCGGATTTGAGCGTCTACGGCTAATAATGTTAAACGAAAGCACAATGGATAGGCGCAGCTGTCGATCGAGGGGGGGCGCTGCGTGGGACGTGACCTTCACTCGACTGCTCACACTGCTCTGCCGCATAACCACGTGGGCCGGCAACAGCACGTTGGATAAAACCGGACGAGCCAGCAGCAGCGTCACACGCGGCGACAGCTCCCCATATCACAACTGGTGACTGCATTGACGTACCCCCATATCAGGATGCTATTGTCAGCTTGTTTCGTTTGCAACAAATCGGTGAAAGTAAAATGTCTATATCGCTGGGTTGGCAATGGTGCAAAAATGCACGAATTACAAAAAAACGTCGAATTTTGGTGAATATAACAAAAGTTTTTATTAATATAACGGATGTTTTTGTTTAAAGTTAATGTGTACTGCCAGGAATTGCTTTTGTATGGTTTTTCACATTTCATCCCAAGGTGCCCGTCCCTTGCAAGAGGCTTGAGATTTGAATGTGATTACTGGTTCTAAGGTCATTGAATAATAGAGGCCTGCTTCCTCATCTACAACACTTTGAGAGTTTTGTTAGGCTCAAGGGCAGGTAAAAGAGAAACGGAACATCACCCTGTATAACACGAGCCACTTCGTGCTGTGATCATCACATCATGACAATGGTGATGGTGGACGTGATAGTGGTAGAAGTGGTAGCCGTGGAGGAGATGGCAATGGTGTAAATAGTAGTGGTGTTTAAAGCGGAGGTGATAGTGGTGGCAATAGTCGTGATTGCCAAGGTGGTGGTGATGGTGGCGAGGGTAGTGGAGGGCTGACAGTGGAAGAGGTGGCCGCTGATAGTGAAAGCAGTTGGTGCTGATATTGGTGGTGGTGGTGACAGCGGCTGTTGTGATGGTGGTGGAGAGAAGTTGGCAATGGCACCAAGGACTGAGGCAGTCGGTGCTCACAGTGGTGGCGATGGTTGTGAAGGTGGCGGCAACAATTGCAGCTGCTACCAGCTGGGGTGGTGGTGACAGTAACAATGGATGAAGGAGGTGGTGGTGTATGGGGGGGGGGGCTCACCCAGGTGCTGCGCCACCTCGAGAACAAGGCGCGTGTCGCGGCCCTGCACCTCCAGCGCGTTGAGGATGGGCGGGAGGCCCTCATCGAACTGCACGTCCACCACGGCGCCGATCACCGCCACGATGCGGCCCCTGGCCACAACAGCCGTGGCCGCCTTGGCTGGCGGGGCCGCGGCATATTCTCTACCTGCGGCAGGGCAAGGGAGGAGGGTGGAGAATATAAAAATGTTGAAAAAATGCCGAAACAATTGAAACCTGTATTAAATGTATTACTACAAGTAGGATATCACCTTGTCATCACCTTGCCATGTGTATGTAATTGCATTCATTAACTGAATGTCCTACAGCCGGTTTTAACTTTGCAACATACCATACATTTGATGAATTTGCAACATTCCATTCACGATTATTGGTCATTATCGATATGCTAACTCTATATATTTGAGTGCGTACCGTGTCCTTTGCCGTGTTTCGTTTGTGGTAATAGCCTAAAATTAGCACTTCCATATAATTAACACAAACAGTAAGAAATCTCTTCTCACAAGCGAGACGAGATTATTCCATATTCATCCATTAACCCTTCAATACCTTCCAACTACCTAATAATTACGTAATGGTTGAATGAATTGCCATGATTGTGGGTCGCGACTCTTATGGTATCAGTTCTGTTCAAGAGGTGCAAATTTGATAAAAATGTTAGATGCTTATTGTATAATTTTTAAAAATGAATACACGAATCCAACATTACATATTCTTCATCACAAATCGATATACATCGCCGTATACGATTCGTGGAGTACGCATACATTTCAGTCGACGAATCTTCGCCTTTTGTGCAGTAGATGTAATTTAGATTTAAATTTGCAAAAAAACTAACAATTACGGTTACGATGTTAACCATTTCCCCACTGTAAGTCGGCCAACACCGTTACCTTGCTCTGACCTTGCACTGGTGTGGGTGACTATGACCCATAGAGGTCAACCCTCGACGAGGTCACTATCCCCTTGAGTGACATTTGAATCTCCGCGATAAAATAACGATTGTATTTTAGCCACCTACAGATTAATTGTGGGTATTTATTTATAATCAGCTCATGTGAAATGACTGCTGCGCGTACTTTCACTGCAGTTCTCAACAAAAATGAGGCACCGCCTGCGTGCACATTGCATGTTTGAATCATTCCCTCGCTAAAAATGCACCCTTTTGAGCAATGCTAGTCATACAGCTAAACCTATAATTGTACATTTAACCGCGAGAAAGACAATTGTTAAATAATGTAATAAGTTAGGCGCCGCCTCAGCCGCAGTGAAATGGCCGCCCTCTCCATTCGACGCGCGGACGAATCAACAATAATTC